TGCCCTAACAAGGATGAAGTTGACAAATTTTGAAATTCAAGAACAAAATCCTCAAAATGAACCACATCAAGAAGAAATTCCACAAGATATTCCACAATCTTCAACTCAAGTAGGAGCTTCTTCTAGTCAACCACCACCATTTCCTACAGAACCCTCATGCTTTTCAGACATGCAATACAACACTTTAAGTGCACGTATCCTTGAACTTGAAACTGGTCAAAGAGCTCTATATTCTCAGAATTCATATATCATTAGTAATCAAGAAGAGCTAATCAAGAAGTTTGAAGACTTGGACACAAAGCTTAATGCATATTTTCAAGGACAGCAACCTCCTCCAGCACCTTAGGATGTTTTTATGTTAAGTTTTAAAACAATTATGTTATTTTGTTTAAGTATCAAAAACTTTGCAGTTGTGAGTTGTTAGGACTTATGTAATGTGTTATTTATGTTGCTACTATGTTAAGTATGTTGATTGTGTGTTTAATTATCTATGATGATGTTTGGTTAGTTAATATATGTGCTACATATTTTAAACAGATCATGGTGATGAACATTGTGGAAATTTTGGTCTTTATGGCAAGTCTTTACCTACCTATTTGGATGGGTGAAGTTATGGACTATGTTCATAACCTGGATGATTTGTTTGAAGTGTTAGCTCATGTTGAAGAAATAATGTCATGTTTAGCATAAATATTTTTCTCTTTTTGTTGATAACAAAGAGGGATAAATAGGTATTGTTATGTATTGTTATAGACTTAAATTTGCATATATGCAGGGGGAGTAAGTATGGTTATTTTATTATGTTTAAATCTGATTATAATATACATACTTATGCATAAATTATTTGTTATCATCAAAAAGTGGGAGAATGTTGAATATCATATCTCCATGAGAATATTTTGATGATAACAATTTATACAATGTGTGCACTAACTTTTATATGCAGATTTCAATATCAGAATATGAACAAGTGCAAGTTGATTTCAAGGCATTATGAAGTGAAGAAAATGAAGAACATATGAGATAATGTATTTTACATTTTCTTTATTTAGAATTATTGTACAAGCCTTGATCACACACACAAACACACACAATATTAGAACACACTAACACAGGCTTAGTGTGTTGGTTAACTATAGAAATCCCCTATGTTAACCATTAGAATTATAGTTAAAACTTAAGTATAAAAATATTTTATTTCACAATTTTTACTCTTAGTAGTCGACTAATTAGAATAGTAGTCGACTACTCGTGTATAAAACTTAAATATATGTTTCTGTTATTTTACAGTATAGTCGACTAATTTACATTATAGTCGACTACTTAAGTGTTTGACAGAAACATAAGTTTCTGTTGTTTTACAGTGTAGTCGACTAATCTACATTATAGTCGACTACTGAAGGCAAATTTTATTTTACAAGTTTCTGTCAAAATACAGTGTAGTCGACTAATGAGCATTGTAGTCGACTACTGAGAAATTTTCTGAATACACAGAGTCTGTTTGAACTCAGTGTAGTCGACTAATCTGTATTGTAGTCGACTATAGATATAGTTTTTCTAGATTTCAAAGTTTGAATTTGTGACTGTTTATAGCCGTTTTTAAACGTTTTTAAAGTTCAAAAAATTATCTTTTCAATGGCTATAAATAGGTTATCAGTTCAGAAAAAATGCAGAGACTTACATACCCATAAGCTTTGATCTTTGTGCATTTTTTCAAGTGAAAAATATTCAGATTTTGAGAAAAAGAAAAGTTTCTGAAATTGCCTTTGAACATCATTCAAATATTTATTGTTTAGGTAATTTACAGAAGTTAGAATCATTCCTAAGCCACTACTACACTACAAATCAAGGTTTATAGGAATTGAAATTGTTGCTTCAAAAGTTCTCTCAAGGTGTGAGAGGTGTAAATCTCTTGGTTTAGATATTGGTGTGCAAATTGGCAAGATGTTTGTCAATTGGTGTTGCAATTTGCAGGGACTTGCAAATTGGTCAGGTTTGCGTTTTGATTTTGTAAGTTTATTCAAAATCATAGTGAAAACTCTCAAGCGGGATTTGCTTGGGAACTGGATGTACACCGGATTGGTGGAACCAGTATAAATCCTTGTGTTTGTGATTATGAATTTCTAAGATTGCCATTTTTCTTTGCAATTTATAATCTACTTTGCATAAATTTTAAAAGAATACTATTCACCCCCCCTCTAGTGTTCTAGTGTATCTATTTCAGATCCTACAATATTGTCTCTAATGATGGCTAGGCAAATTTCTTCATTACCCGACCATTACATCCTACACCGTTGGACTATACATGCTCGATATCATAATATTGGGGTTGGCAATATTGTATTTGGAAGAAACATCATAAGCTGTGAAGAGAAGATTAATGTGTTGAAATCTTAGACTTTAAGAGTAAAATTCAATAATGTGCTCGAGCTTGCATTTGATTTAGAAGAGAGGATGCAGAAATTAGATAATGTGTTAACCAAGTTCATAGAATCAGTTGAAGAAGAAGTTAGAGAAACAGAAGATAATCCTCAGATTTCCGCACCTATTTCACATACAATGGACCACATTCCTCATATTACAGTTCGTGATCCTGATAGATCTGTAAGGACTAAAGGTCGTCCATGCAATGCTACTAGAATTCAGTCAGGCTTAGAACAAGCACAAGAAAAGAAAGAGAGGAAGAAGCGTATATGTAGTAGATATGGTGAGCTCGGGCATTATAGAACGAGCTGTAAAGTCAACTTGCCAAGGTATAATTATTTTTTTTTTCATATGTAGCTCATTTGTGAATTTCTTATATGTTTAGCTTTTTTCAAGTATAGAATTGTCCTATATCGTGCACATTTGATTCAGTGAGGAATTGACTAAATGACCTCATGTATAGCTGCACTTATGGTTTTAGTAATACAATACAGTTAACCTTATCCATGTATTGTCTCATTTGATGAATATATGTCATGAAATTTGCAGCTAACCCAAGTTATGGAGAAGAAGAAGAGGAATCTTGTGAGAAGATGAGGAAACAAAGAAGAATTATCAATGTATATCCACGGCACAACCTTCTTTGCAATGGATTATTTCAATGAACTACTGTTTTCAAAGCCAGAAATGTAATGTAAGATAAAACTGAGAGAATTATGAGTTTTATTATGGTTGTTCAAAGCTGGATTGTAGAGTATTGCAGGCTTTAGTAATGCAAATGAATTACTGGGAATGTCTTTAGTAATGCAAATGAATTACTGGGAATGTCTTTTATTGTAGTTTGTATTGCAGGCTTTAGTAGTTGTATGTTGATTAAATAATGCAAATGAATTACATGAGCTTTGGTTTTGTATAAGCCCGTTGATAATTACCTCGTTGTGTCGTCTAGTTCGACTTTTAGTGTGAACCCAGACTTGATTGATGGTCTTAAAGAGTGAGTAGTTATAATCCCTTCCTCTTTTTACATAGTATTTTGTTGTTCGTATTTCTTTTTGCGAATATGTAATGCTGATATTTGTATGTTTTTGGATGTTTGTTGCATTTGGATGTGCATTCATGTTTGTGTCGTCATGGATACGTTTCAAGTGGATAATGCTGATATACATTCATGTAATGTAATGCTGATATTTCGTTATGGTGAACAGTTTCAAAGTGGATAATTGTCAACTTATCAAGGAGAACAATTCTTATGGTTATGTGGCTTGGGGTCATGCATTGAACATCTACAAAAGTCCTTAACCGTTGAATGTGTCTTTAGTAGTTGTATGTTGATTAAATACTTCAGTTGGTACAGGCTCCATGATTCATCACTCGCACTAAAGGCAACATGATACAAAATTGAAGTACAAACTAAGTACAAAATCATACACGAATCATGACACAAACTTACCACAAACAAGCTCAAAATTGAGTACAAACTATGTACAAAATGACCCAAGTTATGCAAGCTTATCCTCACATTGAAGAATCATACACGAATCACATCACATGTTTCCCCTAATAGAGAAACCAACAAACACTACAATGGTACATACTAGAAATATTAAAATTGTAAACACTGAACCTAATACAAAAACATAGATGGAGGAAATATCAGTTTCCCCAGGTTTTCCCTTGTCCTCAAGAAGATTATGCCCCTCTGGAAACATTTGTTCTTGAACACAAATATGTGGTTGCACCACTACCACATATTTGCTCTAACGCAACGGTTCAAAACCGTTGCGTTAGCCATGGAACCGTCGCCCTTGAGCAAGTGCGACGGTTCTCAAACCGCCTCATATACTGCCGTTGCCCTACCTCTACCGTAACAGTTTTGAACTCTATTGCGACGGTTTTTTGAACCGTTGCCCCCGCATCTAACGCAACGGTTTTAAAAGGCAAGCAGTTACAGTAATGGTTTTAATAGGCTATAGCTATGGTTCTCATAGAGCTACGGCGACAGTTGGAGCTATTGCAATAGTTTTAAAAGATCTAACGCAATTGTTTTAGTAGGCTATAGCTATGGTTTTGATAGAACTACGGCGACAGTTGGAGCTATTGCAATAGTTTTAAAAAACCTAACGCAACGGTTTTAGTAGACTATAGCAATGGTTTTGATAGAGCTATGGCGACAGTTGGAGCTATTGCAACAGTTTTAAAAGACCTAACGCAACGGTTTTAGTAGGCTATAAGTATGGTTTTGATAGAGCTACGGAGATAGTTGGAGCTATTGCAACAGTTTTAAAAGACCTAACGCAACAGTTTAGATTGAGCTATCGCAACAGTTTGGATCGAGCTATCGCAGCGGTTTTGATCGAGCTATCGCAATAGTTTTAATCGAGCTATTGCAACAACTCAATCGGACCTGTTCTTGGTTTCCTACGTCAAAATAATATAGTATTCAATTACCTGGACAATCTTTTTAAGAACATGGCCAAGTTAAATTTTAATACACAATATAAAACTGATTATGTTGAGCATAATCAACCATAATGATAAGTGCCAACATACATCAGTATAGTATAAAAACTATAAAGTATTAAATCCACACTACCAACATTTCAACTCAGAAAATATCGTACCGAACTAACATTCAAACAATGTACATCAACATTTGATTACAAAACATAAAACTTCTCGGTCAAAGACTATATTCTCTATTTGTTTCCAAAAACTTGTTCCTCAATGTCAAATACTCACTAGGAACCTGTCAGTATCAATCTCAATCTTGGCTTTTATCATTTCTGTACCTGTGTAAATTTTCATGAAACAGCATAATTTTTGCAATGATGATAATAAAATTGGGGAAAAAAGATGTTTGAAAAGGAAGTTAAGAGAACAATGTACATCATGCTTGTTTGTTGCCACAACCAAATCCAACCATTTTAACAAAAAAGGCTAAAGTAATTTTTGCAATGATGATAATAAAATTGGGGAAAAAAGATGTTTGAAAAGGAAGTTAAGAGAACATATTGATCCATGAGTACCAGAAGCGTGATGAAAGGAGCAAAAAATTCTCAAGACATAAAGCATATCGATTCCTCCTGCAAGAGTACTGAAATCTGAGAAATATAATAAAGTCGCATAGATACAAAAGAAGTTATCTTAGCAGCAATTTATAATAGGAAGTTCTTAAGTTGATAAGTCTTCAGAGCGTCAGAATGTGTTGGTTCCAGAAAGGAAAATACCTTAAATTTCTAAAGTAGTTTAGCATATGTTAGAAAATCTAAAATCTAATGCATGGAGGTCCAGTATTCAAACTGAGGCATTATATGATAGTTGAAATTGTAAAGAGAATCATTAACTTCTCTGTCTCCCCCCCCCCTTTTTTTTAGGGGCGACTGATTTGCAAACAACAACCTCACCCCTAACCACCTCCACCATAACACCCAGCACGCTCTGACTCTCAACATTATTTTTTTGTCCATGTATGTAACCCCTTATTCCCACTATTCTTCACACTGGCCTCTACTGTTACTCCAAAACTGGGAGACGTTGTGTAAACATGATCGCACCCCAAAAAAGTGATGGAAATATCCCCACCATCAAAGGTTGTTGGGTGAGGTTGTGTAAACATGATCGCACCCCAAAAAAGTGATGGAAATATCCCCACCATCAAAGGTTGTTGGGTGAAAAAGAAAGATAAGAAAAGAAAAGAAACAAAAAGAATAATAATGATTTGAAAGAACTAAGACATCTGGAAATGTGGATTGAGAAAAACTGTTAAGGAATGAATTAAGTGAGGACATGGTATAAACAATTCAATTGATGTAGTGTTACATGTTTAGTATATACCTTTTAAAAATCAAAATTAAAGTGGAACTTTAAATTTTTTTTAGGCACATGCATTTGCAATCACTAGAGAATCTAGTCAGTCAATGCTAATCCTCTTTTCCCTCATCTTAATTATGACCAGGACTAGCATGACTTCAAGAATGAAAACAACTCCCTTTCTCTCCCTGGAAGAACTACCAAAACCATTTGACCTTTTAAAAATCAAAATTAAAGTGGAACTTTAAATGTTTTTTAGGCACATGCATTTGCAATCACTAGAGAATCTAGTTAGTCAACGCTAATCCTCTTTTCCCTCAACTTATGACCAGGACTAGCATGACTCCAAGAATGAAAACAACTCCCTTTCTCTCACTGG